AGTAGCTGGGTCTAACCGAGCGAAAATTTAGTATTGACCTTAAACAACGCCAGATATTATTACAGAAGATTATCTCGCAGTTAACCATTGTCGACAGCAAAAGATAGTGATCTGGCTTGATTCAAGTTACAGCTTGTATGCATAAGTCGATCACAAGGGTGGTGCTTGTTGACCTATATAATCAAACATCGCCTGACTCGTAGGCTGTTATGACGAATATGAATAGGATTAATGTATTTGCATGGTCTGGTTGCTGTTTATATATATACTGTTTACTTTTCAAAAGCATCATTATGTATATATTTAGTTTGTGGGAGGTGGTGTGAAACAGCAGATATTCCACGCTTAAGAAAACAATAGTCCAAACATGAAGAGTTAAACTGTTCGACAATGTCTACTCTCAGCACGTCATTATTGATTTAGTGTCCTGTTGTGTAATATGATGTAATATACCGCGATGGGTTGTGCACAATAAGACGTTAAGAAGATGGATTCAGATGTTAATAATCTACGTAGTTTGATAAAACCACAAACTATACTCATGCCAATAATGGTTGTCACCCCTTCAATTTTTTAATTGGAGGGAGGGTGGAGTGGGTGGTTGGTTGGTTGCATGGGGTGTGGGGGTGGGGGGTGGGGTGACAACCATTATTGTCATGAGTATATTTTGTGCAGAGTGAGTTAATATATATGACGTACATCTAGAGGGCGACTCAGTAAATGTCTTGTAAATGTAATATGGAGGAAAGTATCTCAGTAGACCTTGTCAACAACGCTGCCTTGAATAGGTATATGCCATTTTGATATGCCCCAAGTAACAGCGATTTAAGTGTAAATATAAACAATATGTTCTGTTCGATTTGTATCTACACATGAAGGAACTTCACTAAACCCGTGAATATCCAGGTCAGAATTGATCTTCAGTAAACCGTTCTTGTCTTAAGAGGCGACTAACGGGATTGGGTGGTTGATTTAGTTCGTGCGTTTAATCGTATCCCAGTTGCGTAGATCGATGCTTATGATGTCAATCACGGGATTGTCTGGCCCAGACTAGATTAGTTATAGGCCGTCGTCATATACAGCTGGAATATTGTTGAGTGTGGAGTTAAACAAACAACCAACCAACAAACAAACAAACAAACAAAAGGACCTTGACACAGTACTCCTGATTTCACGAGGTTTTACTCCTGTCAAATATATCACACATCTGTTAACGTGATTGCATGCACCCGTTCTCAGGTCAGAAGCCAATACAATTTTATTTTGTCCAGTGACATTCGTGTTGTGGGTAACGAAACATGCCCAGCTAAGTTCAGGCTCAATCGACCCACCTTACACAATTAGCTCTTGAGGCACTCTGGTCTCTTGTGCTTCGGGAAACAATTTCCTGACGAAGATGGTATATAAACTATCATTGCTTTGGAAATGATTTATCCTGCATCAGTCAAAATGATTCTTTGACTGAAAGAGGAAACAACCATTTTTCTAAACAATCGTTGTTGAACCCCAGAAATATACTAGTAGGTATCAGAGGATGATTTGGGTGAAGGCAGACCCTTAAAATTTATGTTTATGGTATTCTCTTTCTCAATTTACATCATTATTTTCATTGTGTGCACTGTTTATTTTATACGTAGACAGTTGATCCTTTAGCGGGATAGGCATGGAAGAATCAACATGGCATGCATTGTGTATGTATTGCATTACACATTCAGCTAAATTCATTGCATGACACACCGAATGGGCGTCACGTGTTGCATATGGAAACAGGGTTGCGCGTTCTGAGCACTAGTCATCACATTAAACTGGTGTGAGCTGATTTTTTGTCATTAAGGAATAATACAGCTCCATGTGGGGTAACAAGTACTGGTCTGAGTGGAATAGGTGGGGATTAGGATTATCTCTGCACACCGCAATATGTGTAGCTGATGACGATAGACTCCTAATCCGTGCGTCAGAAACCAGCGTTGTTTCGAGCTGTTGTTTTACTGCGGTTTTCCTCGATGTGGTTTAACATAGCACTCAGTAATATGACTCATGCTGTTGATCACTGGATTGTCTGGTCCAGACTCGATTATTTACAGCCATAGAGCTGGAATATTGATGACCGCGGCGTCAAACACCAAACAAAACAAAAACAATAACAGTTCCATATCTACTGTCAAATTCGAAATGTTCACCAACTCTTCGCTTTTAATATCTATAATTTCTGGAACCCACAGTTAGGGTTTGGGGAGTCCAGGTGATACGGTTTGGTCTTCTAGGAACTAAGTTGCGAGTGATAAACTAGGGTGAAAAGGTGAAGTGGCGTGTGACCACCGAGTTTTAGCAAGGCCGCCAGTGTTGTCCGTTATCGCTGTTATTGTGCGAGTTGTGTAAACGCTGCAAACACGGTCACTGGGTCACGAGGTGTCACGCGTACACATGAAAACATTCAGTTTTGTTTTGATAAACATACAGAAACTTACAACTGAACACATAACACATATAAAACTATTGTAAGTACATTTCCTTCATGGAATAATATTGGATGCTGGATTTGAGATAAACAGCCAAGTCAGTTATCAGTATATCACTATTACTTAGTGCGGAAAATTGACCGCACCTGAGTTCAAAGCAGTTTTACCTGTCCGCTGTGGTATTTCTTCGTGCGACAGATCTAGCACCGCCCTCTGATCTCATCTACAGGGACGATTTTACCTGTACGTCTTAGTACGCAGAATATACGTGTGCCGCCTCGAGTGAGTGAGTGAGTAAGTATGGTTTTACGCCGCTATATTCCAGCAATATCACGGCAGGGGACACCAGAACCCACGTCTTTGGCGTGAAGAACGAATGCATTAACCACTATAGGCTACCGCAGCGCCCCCAACAATGAGGGTTAAAACTGCTTAAACAAGCAGTTACATCAACACGTTACATCAGTTACATCTTCAATTTAATCAGGGAGGAAAGTTCAAGGTTACGAGGGTCTTGTGGGGTTTGTTTATCTCTCATGTTGAGCAGAGAGACCAAATATAAGTCATAATCAGGGATTCTGAGATTCGAACCCAGGACCAACCCACGGAACATTGTGAAGGAAAAAGCTCTTTCAGCCGAAGCGTGACGTTCCCTGGATAGAAACAGATGATTATATTTCCAAGTAGTTGAATAATAGTTTATTTCTTCATATGTAGTGTTATTTCTTGTGTAACGGTGTTCCAAGTGTAATACATTGTACGAGTGGATAGTCAGTGAAGGGCAGCTAGTCACTTCTATATTTAGACTTGTGTCGTAATAAGACAGGTCTGGAAGGTACTGCAAGGTACTACAACCCTATAGATATTTCCACTACATTCTGAGCAAGGGAGTTGGAGAATCTTCTGGAGTCTTTTTCTAAGGGAACTCTTGCCTCACATATCACATTAGATCTCAAGTTACAGGAAGACCACAATTGTGTTGCGACCATGCTAGCGGATACTCAGCCAAGGCCTAGTGTTGAAACTTGCCAGTGAGGTGAATATCACCATCTCTGTCTCGCTACTGTCACGGCTAGTGTAACATACTGCCTCTGAATCTGTATTGCCACTGCAATACTTTGTAGTGATTTGTATTAAATTGTAAACTTGATTAATTTTAGAATACAATTCTAATTAAATTTTATATCACATTGCTTTGTTGTTTGTTCCTTTCACACCAAGTCCTTTTTCGAACTGATTTCTGGTGAACTTTTAGCCATAGCTTCAACTTGTGAATCCACACGAAACACTCCACAAAGCCACCAAGAGCACAGCGTGTTTGGTATGCATATGGCTGTAACTGAATATGGGTGAATATATTTCGTATTCCCATTGGTATATATGTTTGCATGACTATTTAAGTATGGCCAAATAGTAATATTAAAACGACATCAACATATAGAAAGCGCCACAATCACTCCTGATTATATAGCAACAAAGTCTTTACCCCGTCCCCCGACTATCATGTATTCCCATCCACATACAAGCTAAGCACTTTATCAAGCTATACAGGGTTCCGTATTAGTGAGTGAGTTTAGGTTTTGCGCCACTTTTAACAATATTCCAGCAATATCACGGCGGAGGACACCAGAAATGGGTTTCACACATTGTACCCAAGTGGGGAATCGAACTCGGGCCTTCGGCGTGACGAGCCAACGCTTTAACCACAAGGATACCACACAGCCCCAGTTCATATTAAGAACATGTGCTTATCTACATGCACAATAAAAGCGATGAAAAACCCTATTAAGAAATCTCCGCTGAAAACAGGGTACACTGTAGAATAGAATAATACTTTATTATCTCAAAGAGAAATTTGTTTTGTATCACAGGCTAGGGAATAATTAAATTAGATTGTAAAATACACATTGTAAATACACATTAACACAAATTGCACAACGTCATTAAGATAACACGCACGCACATACACACACACACTCTCTCTCTCACACACACACACGTGTGTGTGTTTGTAGCAAGCAGAGGACAATTATTACATTAAATTGATGCTAAAATGAAAAATAATTACAAAGTCTATAAATTAGACTTCACGCTTAAGACTCTTATACTTCAAGGGATAAGGGATACTCCGGGAATCTCTTAGTCTTAAGAAAGTGAGTGAGTGAGTTGAGTTTTACGCCGTACTCAGCAATATTCCAGCTATATGGCGGCGGTCTGTAAATAATCGGATCTGGAACAGACAATCCAGGGATCAAAAGCATGAACATCGATCTACGCAATTGGGAACCGATGACATGTGTCAATCCAGTCAGCGAGCCTGACCACCCGATACTGTTAGTTGCCTCTTACGACAAGCATGGGTTACTGAAGGTTCATTCTAACCCGGACCTTCACGGGTAGTCTTAAGAAAGGGTTGCTTAAATATGTGTACCTTGTTGAGGTAATGAGTCCTGGCAGAGGCAATTTCCAGTGGTTTCTTAGTTACTCTTTCCTCATACATTACACTTAGATTATCATATTTAACATTGCATATTTTCCTAGCTGAAGTACAAGTTTGCTTCGTTTGCTTTTGTTTACCATAGACAGACCTGCATACCAAACATAGGCATCGCATATATCATGGTCATGTGTTTATGAATCACTATCAAATAATGCTGATACCAGGTGTTTGTGGAAAGGTGAGTGTATCCTGCCCCATAGGTGGCAGTGGTCAGGGTCAAATCAATCAACTACTCCAGGACGTTGTGAGCCGCTTCATCGTATTCACACTACAGCGCCTCAGTGGTATCCGGGTCCATTGACCTTTCTTGGGGATCACTTTAGACCTCAACACCAAGGTCTAATTATAAGACTCAAGTGTATACCGTACAGCGATGGTAGAACAGACTGCTGGTAGAGTCATGTTGCTGGTGAGAGCAGGTTCCAGCGCTTCAGAGCGGATGGTAGAGAGTACGTACGTGTGTTTATCACAACCGGGAGGAATGCACAGGCTGGTGTTATGTCCAGACGAGTTTACCATTTGGAGGTCACGCTGTAATGCCTTGGGCTGGGATCTGGGTTCCGGACAGGACGAAACCTGTTGCTTTTGTCTGATCTTACAACACAAGGTCACATCGGCACAGGTTTTGTGTATCCTTGCAGAACGCGTTTCAAGATCACATAAATCATTGCATCATCAAAAGCAGCAGTACGGCATCAAATGCAGCAAGTGGTCACCACGAGCAGAAGTACGTCACCACATGCAACAGTACGTCACCATGGGCAAGACTACGTCAGTGAGCCACCCCATGCAACAGTACGGCATCAAACGCAGCAATACTTCAAAGCCTGCATGTGGTGATGCATGTATTCATGTGGTGATACGTCAGTACGTCAATTTTAATAGTGTCAATATTTTCAATGGCCGGTTGGCCTCCTGGCATGTGCACATCCTGGTACCATCTTCATCGTGATAGAGAACACGACCTAATCCTCCCACAAACAGACACGACTCGCCTTCACACTCGCTAAATCATATATAACTTTCCCTTGTACTCAGCCCGACCTGTAATGCAACAGCCCTAAATATTGCAAAGTCTAGTTTTCCTTCAGATCCAGGAAAATATCCTACTTTACTGGGACTCATGCGTTTCTATCCAAATTGTACATTTTCAGAGACTTAGCAGAAGGTTCGAATGAGCCTTCAGTAACCCATGCTTGTCGTAAGAGGCGACTAACGGGATCGGGTGGTCAGGCTCGCTGGTTTGGTTGACACATGTCATCGGTTTCCAATTGCGCAGATCGATGCTCATGCTGTTGATCATTGGATTGCCTGGTCCTGACTCGATTATTTACAGACCGCCGCCATATAGCTGGAATATTTCTGAGTGCGGCGTAAAACTAAACTCACTCACTCATTCAGAGACTTAGCATCAGTGTAACACGTGACATAATACTCAAGAAAAAATGGCGCTGAATATCGAGTCAAGTAATCTGACCTCTAATGAAGCGTGGTGTGCGACGAAAGCCAGGTGACCGTGGTCGTTCCAGGTCAATGCATACAGAGTAACTATAATCTCCAAAATACTGGAATGCAGTGACGTCAAACTGACTATATGACCCTATGTGTCAGTCCATGAGGGTCATGTATTTTCACGAGCAGTACACAACAACTACCCGTATTGTTGATACAATTTCTTTTGTCCGTCAGTGTATCTACTTCCGGTCATTTCAATCACGTAAACTGCCGGGCAAAAGAAAGTTTACATCCGTCCTTCATGGTGGCTAAGACTGAAACAGGTTATTCGATTGTGACGTATTTGATAGAAAGTGCCACAGGTATCGTTTGGACATTAGGTTTGCCCTGTTTCGGCAACTGCTTTCTGCCTAATGACGTTTTGATTATTGAGTGAGTTGGGTTTTACGCCGCTTTTAGCAACACCCCAGCAATATCGGCATGACGGGCGAACGCTTTAACCACTAGGCTACCCCGCTACCCCACCGCCCCGTTTAGATAAGGGAACGTTCATAATTTATGGTTGGGGGTGGGTTGGGGTGTGTAGGGTGTGATGATGACTTTTATGGAGATGCATGTACAATGTGAATCAACCCCTAAAATTTATATACGAAAGTAACCCCCACACCACACACATGTCATGTACACACATCATTGATCCCGCCCACACCACATGAACTTTAAGCATAATTTGGGGAATGTTATCATGAACAAAATCATAGCTGCCCCCCTTCCCATATCACACATACACACACACACACACACACACACACACACGAACAAAATTAAAATAAAATAAAATTATGAACGGTCCCTAACGTTTGTAATTGTGGTGTCAAATCCTGTTTTCAATAGGTGTATCTACTTGGGGGCCCGGTGGTTCATGCTTACCTATGTGACTCGTGTTTACGATTACGATTTCACTTCATATGTTCTGTGTAAAATATAGCTCTAATTTGCTTGACTTTATTTGCGATAGGATCGTAAGTCAACCCTTCGTGTGTCTAGTATATTGACCCATCGTCACCTTAGTCTGTATCTATGACAGTGAGTAGCTTAATTTCATCCATTGTAATCATTGCTTGTGTGGAGTGATAACGCCTAGCAGATTACAATAGGTTGTCCCATACTTGTAACAACTACGATACCAACGTATGACACGATGTAAACAACAGCTAGATAGCGCTAGTTATCTCTCCCTTTGCGGGGTGGGGGAGAGTCATTATTCATTGTAAACAGTCTGACGATGTCGAATGACATAGGTTAAACGTATTTTAATTCTGCAATGTTTTAAGCTAACTGTTTGATTTGTTCAGGTAACCTGCCGAAAAGCTAACGTTGTACACAGACTAATTAATGCAGCACACACCGTCAATCCGGACTATCCTGGTATTAGTAATTAAGCGTCCGGATTAAACAAGTTTTAATTAGCGGATCTCGGGTGTGAAATCATTCCTTAGAATGTGTGATCATGTTGCAAGTTGTTGTCGCCTAAAGGCGAGGGTCTGTACATTTGTTTCTCTTCTTTCCTAGAACGTTTTATGCGTTCCTCCCAACGCAGTTATTTTGTGGTCTCTGGGCGTACATGCTGGCTAGGTCACGATGTTCTCGTACACGCTCACATGTGTAAGAGTTGATTATACCCATTCACGGTGTTGATGACGTTTGAACAAAAAGCGTATATATATTAAATTCTCCTGCGTTGGTCTAAATATCGAGAAGTCGACTATAAGAAGATAGCCTGATACTACTGAATACAAAGGCAACCTAACATCAAGTCCCTAATATTGGCCTAATAACGAGTTCAGCGTTACCCGGCGTCCTAATATTCGCTTGTACGACTGATCTGTGTTCAGACACTATGAGAGGCTTATGTAGGATAACGATACGCTTCATCTACGTATTCCAAGGAGATAGAGCACTATTTCCGTTATATCGGGCCGTGTGTCAGATTAGCGACAGATGGACGCCAGAAGGATGTAGGGAACGGATCATTTGGGTGAAACCGTAGCATAGGCGGATCCAGGAATATTCACAGGAGGGGGGTGGGGCTGGGGGTGGGTTGGAACCGAACCACCCCTGGCTCTGCCAATGCAAAACATTAACTTCAATGTGGTCTTTAGTCATTTTGAAAAGGGAGGACTCGAACCCCCTGACACCCCTTTGGATCCGCCAATGCCTAGTTCTGCACCTTGATTGTGTAATATATTTTCTGAAAACAAACTCAAGTCTAGCCAGTTCTATTCCGCAGAGGAAAAAAGACAAAACGATACACACTGACGCAAATATACACGCTCATAACGCCGCACTCGGCAATATTCCAACAATATGACGGCGGTCTGTAAATAATCGGTTCTGGACCAGACAATCCAGTGATTAACATCACAAGCATCGACCTACGCAAATGGGATACGATGACATGTGTCAGCCAAGTCAGCGAGTCTGACCACCCGATCCCGTTAGTAGCCCTTACGACAAGGATGGGTTACTTAAGACCAATTCTAACCCGGATCTTTACCAGTCTATAACTAACCGAATGATGGCCTATCCTGTCTCCACTGTTTATATCTGTGCGTGGCAACCAGTTCCTGTTAACCGCCCTGTTCTGTATACAAATCGTTAAACGAAACCGTATTCATACCGTTATATTACACCGTTATTTTTCATCCGAGGGGCCAAAAGTAATCCCGTCCCGTGATGTTTTTAAACTCTGTGAAAGGGACAAGTTCAAAAGTTTATTGCTGAGAGAAATGTTAAATTCCATGTAAAACTCAAAACCACACTGTCATGAAGACAGACATGCTTAAATACCATTCTGTATATTCTGGTTGGAAAACTTCACACACACACACACGCACGCACGCACGCACGCACGCACGCACGCACGCACGCACGCACGCACGCAACGCAAGCACGCACGCACACACACATCCCTTACCGTAAGGAAATAAGAATATTATGCGTCATGGAACTTTTGAACGGGTCCCTAATATAGGTTTATTGTTATTAAACGGGAGATCTCTTCAGGAGTGAGTAATACGTTGATTTATCATCCACGTGATTAAAAATTACCCAGTTTGTAAAATTTGCCTGTGCGTCACTAAAACAACTCACATTCCTCACCACTGGTTTCCCTCTAATTGTTCTGTCAGGAATCTGAAATAGATTATATATTGTGAAATAATGGGCAATACTGGTATTATTTCACTGGCACGGGCGTCATATCAATTTTATGAAAGTCATGAGAATTCATATTGTATAGACGCTCTCGCTCTGGAAGTGCAGGAACCCGTTGTTTCGCAACACAGGAAACCAATGCTCGTGTAAACACTTCTGTTTTCGTCAGGACAGGAAGCTCTCGATGGAGCGGAAACGTGTTATCCAAAAATGATGGGTATTCGTCGACGTTAATAAATAACATGTTTGTCAGAGCAGCGGTGTGGGTAGTGGAGACAACGTTGTGTGTTGAGGAAGGAGTCAATGCCGTGTGTTGAGGGTGGAGACAACGTCGTGTGTTGAGAGTGGAGACAATGCCGTGTGTTGAGGGTGGGGACAACGTCGTGTGTTGAGAGTGGAGACAATGCCGTGTGTTGAGGCTGGAGACAACGTCGTGTGTTGAGGGTGGAGACAACGTTGTGGGTGGAGACAACGTCGTTTGTTGTGGGTGGCAACAATATCGTGTGTTGTGAGTGGAGATAACGTCATTGGTAGGGGGAAGAGACAACGTCATGTGTTGAGGGTGGAGACAATGCCATATGTTGAGGGTGGAGACAACGTCATGGGTAGAGGGTGGAGACAACGTCGTGTGTTGAGGGTGGAGACAACGTCGTGTGTTGTGGGTAGAGACAACGTCGAGCGTTGAGGTGGAGGCAATGCCGTGTGTTGTGGGTGAAGATCACGTCATGTGTTGAGGGTGGAGACAATGCCGCGTGTTGTGGGTTGACATAACATCATGTGTTGATGGTGGAGACCACGACGTGTGTTGATGGTGGAGGTAACGTTGTTTGTTGTGGGTAGAGATAACGTCATGTGTTGAGAGTGGAGACAACGTCGTGTGTTGAGGGTGGAGACAACGTCGTGTGTTGAGGGTAGAGACAATGACGTGTGTTGTGGGTGGAGATAAGGTCGGGTGTTGAGGGTGGAGACAATGACGTGTGTTGTGGGTGGAGATAAGGTCGGGTGTTGAGGGTGGAGACAATGACGTGTTATAAGTAGAGATAACGTCATGTGTTGAGGGTGGAGACTACGTCGGTTAGTGTGTGTAGATAACGTCGGGTGTTGAGGGTGGATGCAGTGACGTGCGTTGTGGGTGGAGATAACTTCATGTGTTGAGGGTGGAGACAACGTCGTGTATTGAGGGTGGAGACAACGTCATGTGTTGTGGGTGGAGACAACGTCGTGTATTGAGGGTGGAGACAACGTCATGTGTTGAGGGTAGAGACAACGTCGTGTGTTGAGGGTAGAGACAACGTCGTATGTTGTGGGTGTATAACGTCATGTGTTGAGGGTGGAGGTAACGTTGTTTGTTGTGGGTAGAGATAACGTCATGTGTTGAGGGTGAAGACAACTTCGTGTGTTGTGGGTGGAAACAAAGTCGTCTCTTGAGGGTGGTGATAACGTCGTGTTTTGAGGGTGGAGACAACGACGTGTGTTGTGAGTGGAAATAACGTCATA